GCAGCCACTGACATTTTCCTACTAATCTGTCCATACTCTGTTCCTATGCTATTTCATAAATGGTTGTATGTTTATTACTATGTGTTTCCTACAGCAACCATTGAGAATAGTCAATGATTATTCAATTGGTCACTCATGTATAGCTCTATTTATTTTCTTTAGGAATCATTTTGAAGATATCAAAGTATAGTACAACAACCATTGATAATCTCCTACCACTTTTGTTTGTAACTCACTATTATTTGTTTTCCTGAGACACTACCTTGTAGATAACAATATGTAAAACAACCATTGATAATTTCCTACCACTTTGTAATTCAGTAAGCCCCCCTATTACTATGTTATCCTTATTTTACTCTTTAAGATAATAAAAAAAAAAAAGGACCTAACCAAAAAAGAAAAATACAAGCCAAGGATACTAGCAAACAGAATGCACCAAATCATAAAAAAGATTATACACCATGACCAATTTGGCCTCATCCAAAGGATTCAAAGATGATTCAACATACACAAATCAATAAATGTAATATACCACATAAACAGAACCAAGGACAAAAATCACACAATCATCTCAATGGACACATAAAAAAGCTTTTCATAAAATCCAACATTTATTCGTGATAAAATCCCTGAAGAAAACAGGTACTAAGGACCTTCTCTCAATCTGACTGAAGCCATTTATGACAAACCTGTTGCCAACATCATATAAAATGGAGAAAAACTGAAAGCTTTCTCTCTAAAATCACTGAAAAGGCAAGGATCTCCACTATCATCACTCCTGTTCAATATAGTTCTCAACTTTCATTCCTGATGTGACCTGAGCAACTAAATGTGGCACATATGCTACACTGCGTGAAGAGAAGCACTGAGGACTAGGGGGAACCTGACAGGTAGGGATAAAGAGCAGACAGGGTGGGGAGCAGGTGGAAGGAAGTGGAGAACAGATGGAGAGCAGGTGGGGGCAGAGAGCAGAAGAACCACTGAACACCAAATCTGGATGATAAAGTGTACACATAAGACAAATAGGGAGCCACCCTCGTACGCCTTCTTATTCCCAGATATGAGAAAGGGGTCATTTATGTTTCCTTGGGACAAGGACATGACTTCCTTTTGCTTTTAGAAGATCTCTATGGTTGTTCTAGGTGCCAAGGCCTGGGCCAGGTCTGAGGAGGTGGAGACTAGAGAAACAGAGCTGCTGCTCAAAATACTTCCCAGCCACACACTGGCCCACTACCTGGGAGGGGTACCTGCCACTTGTGGTCATCTGCCTGCAAGGACAGCCCCACTGTGGGTGCCATGAAAGGACAGAGAACAACTAAGTGTAGTGGTGCTGTAATTCCAGCAGTCAGGAGGATGAGGCGGAGGGATGCAAGTTTGAGCCCAGCCTGGGATACACAGTGAGTTCAAGTCTACTCTGGACTACATAGTGAGACCCTGACTCAAAACAAACAAAACAAACCAATATAGTTCTCAAAACATTAGCCAGAGAAATCAGGCAAGAGTAAGAAGCAAAAGGGGTATGCTTAGGAAAGGAAAGAGTTAGTCTATCATTATTTGCAGATGACATAATATTCCATACAGAACATCCCAAAAATTCCACCAAAAAACTCCTAAAATTAGTAACAAAATTCAGTAGTGTAACAGGGTATAAAATCAACACAAAGATCAACAGCATTTTTGTATACCAATAATAAATTCCCTGAAAAAGATTAGGAAAACAGCACACTCACAACAGCATCAAGAAAAATTAAACCCTTAGGACTTATCCTGACCAAGGAAG